ACAGGGCCTGGTTTTTCAAAGCCTTGCAGTTTCAAATATTGACCTCACTAAGGACAGGAAATTTTCCCCAGGCTGTTGAGTCTCTGTTGCAAGATAAGAATTGTAACACAGCAAGGCTGCTGGCTCAAAGACAGACAAGTTACTGATTGATATGTAAAGATCCTGGGAAATCACGGTAAGAAGAGAATGTTTGCTAAAATCAAGGCTTTGTTGCAAATTGCATTACAGAAGGTCACCTTGCTTGACTTACTGAATGTTACCAGCTTCTATTGTTAAACTTGTTAAACTGTACTTAGCAAAACCCCACCTATGTCTCTTCCTGTAACTTCTTGGTCTAGAAAATAAATGCAGGAAGAGAACCCCAATTTGTGGTTAACTTCCCAAATGGAAGAAATGCCTCACGCTTGAGAGTCCTGGGATATTAACCCCTTTCTGGGGCTTCTCACTGCTCAGAAGAGATGGGCTTTGAGTAATCTTTGGTGGCTCCATCACCTAGGGGAAAAGGAGTGACAAATCTGTGGGAGGCAAAGCAACACATTACAAAAAGTCAGGACATTAACAATACCAGGAAACATCAGCTTTGTATTGAGAGAGAAGAAAAAATAGAATCTGGCACATTAACTGAAAATCATAGTGCTAGAGGGCCATTTAATGCAACGGTGAGTGGCCCCATTTCTCAACAGCCTCTGAGGGTCTCTCTGCACTACAGCCCAGGGTGATAACTGTTGTTAATAATCACATCCCCAGACAGAAAGAATAAGGAGACTTGTGTTTGGTACACTCAGTATGAAAGGGTTTTAGGAAACTTCAGCTGTGTGGAAAATGTACTTACACAGACTGTCCCATTTCTTGATAGTGCCTATCGCTGATCTTCAACCCCAGAGCTGGAGTGATTGTTTTAAAGCACAATTCAGATCATGTTACTCCTCTGCTCATTGGCTTCCCATTTTGCTGAGACTACAGCCTCACCACTCAAAATGTGGACCTCAGACCAACAACATCAGCACCACCTGGAAGCTCCTTAGAGTTGCAGAATCTCAGGAGCCACCCAGCTCCACTGAATTAGAATCTTCATTTGAACTAGATCCCCAGAGTGTTTGTGCAGACTTTAGGAAGTATGGACCTGCACCACCTGGCTCCTCATCTCCTGAGCCTCTCCTCTTAGCTCTCTCTGCTCCCATCACGCAGGCTCTTTCCCCTCCTCACATAGTCTGTGCGTGCTCTCTCCCCAGGGCCTTTGCTATGGCTGCTCCTCTGCCTGGAATGCTCTTCTCTTAGATATCCACATGGCAAGCTGGCTCACTGTCTTCAAGCCTTTACTCAAACCTTGCATTCTCAATAAGCCACCCTGACCCCCCTGTTTAAAAGGATAACCACAGCCAGCCCCACTCTCACACTCAGCCCCCTCCTACTCACCCTTGCTGTATTTTCTCTCCCCTGTAACACTGTGCACTTCTAACACCCCATACCACTGACTTATTTGCTACACTTATTGTTTGTCTTTCTCTGCTAGAGCATAGCACTATGTAAACAGGATCTGACTTGACACAGAATCCAAGTGCATGATTGTTTTTCTAGTAATTCATTTTTATTGTATTTCTCAAAAGTATCAGACTGTGAGAGCTGGAAAACAACCAACCAAAAGTTGTTCTTTCAAAACAGTTTGGGAAGTAGTCACCCAGGACAGTTCCTGGCACTTAGTAAGTGTTAATAATTATTTTTTGAATAAATGAATGAATAAATAAATAGAACAAATGCCTAAACTATCTGTTTACATAGTAAAACCAGAACATGTCTGTATACGTTCCTGTTAGTCATATTAAAAAATTTAACTGCTTGGATTAGTGGCAAAGTGATTCATGTTATGCATTTCTTGGGTATGTTGTGCTTTTCTATCACATGTGAGCAAAGAGTCAGCTCACATGGGCCAGTTAGAGACACATCTTAGACTCTTGACAAAGGGGCTGAAGACAGCCCTGTCCAAGGTCCACATTACAGACTTCTTTGCAAGGCTGCTTGACATTAACATTAGATTTATTCCCTGCCCCTCACCCCCACTCCATCAGACCCCTGTTTCATAGAACAATGAAGTTAGTCCTTACTGCAAGTTAGAAGGCAAATAATATAAAACAAAAACATGGTTTGAGATAATGGATCATTTAAGGTAAAGAATTAAACACAAAGGTATTACTTGCTAAAATGTCTCTTAAAAAAATATATTTTTGTTTCCACAACTGATAATATAAAAATAAACAAAACTGGAAAATTTCTGTTCTTCAGTTCATTTCTGTTGCTTTCTAAGGTCAAAGGGAATTTGATTTACATATAATGTTTTTTCCTGCCTAAACTTCCTTTCCTTTTCCCCTGCCCAAAACAACAGCGGCAACAAAACGAAACAGCGTGGATTATTTTAACTTGTTCCACTAGTATGCTATTTCTATTTTGGGGTATCAAAGAGACATATTTTATTTCAGGATTATTAGAAATACATTTTAAAACCTTTCTCTGACTCGCTTACTCAAGTAGAGTTTCATTTCATTCTTGCTCTCACTATATTCCATCATGGCTTGGGATGCTCAAGAATTCAATTTGAGGACCTAGGCTAGGTTGTGAGGAGAGAATTCGTAAGTGGGAAGATATGATCCCAGAGAGTTTAAAACGTAGTAGATGCATAAAAATAACTACACTACAAAGCAGGATGTGATAAGTTCTATATGAAAAGTCAAAGAGTAGGGAACCATTGTAGACCTTGAAGAATGGAGAGGATTCTGACAAGTGAATGAGGAAGAAGGAATGTGGAGCAGAGGGGTTGGTAGGAACAAAGTTATGCGGGAGGTTAAGCATGCTCCTGCCAAGTTCAGAGAATAGAGAATAGTTTGCAGATTCTGAAGGAAAGAATGAGGAAGAGAGATCACTGAAGTTAGAGCCAGAAAGGAAGATTAGGACCAGAACAGAGAAATCTCTGAAGGTCATGTTGAGAAGCTTAGAGTCGATCTGGGGTGCTGGGGAGCCACTGAGGAGTATGGAGAAAGAGAATGTCATCATCAGTGTTATGCTTTAGATAAGCTCCTTAGATATCTATACATAGGAGAGGTTGAAGGAGGAAAAGAATGGGGGCAGGGAGACCACTTAGGATCCTGTTTATAAGTGTAAGGGGACATAATGGTGATGGTTGCAGAGCCAATAGAAAAGTGTTTAGATTGGAAGGAAGGGACAGCTGGGAGGAAAGTGCATGTGGGCATTGATAGCAAATCAGATGTGTAACTTGTAAATGTTTGACCTTTTGGGATATTTTTCTAAGACTAGGAAATATGACTGTAACCCAGCAAATCTCTTTGCTCTTTAATAGTTGTTCATTCAGAATGCGGTATATTTTTACTCCTGCTGAGTCAAAACTTAATGCCATACGATAAGAACTTTATTTCTCAACCTGTTACTCATACTCATAGATTAGCTTTGTATTTATGTAATAGTAATAAAAAAAAACACCACCACCGCAGCAGCTGACAGTTATTGAACCCTTACTATAAACCAGACACTATGCTATGACCTTTCCTTACACTAGCTCGCTTAATCCTCAGTACAACCCTCTCAGATATGAACTACTATTTCCCTCATTTTACATGTGTAGGTGCTGAGGTGAGGAGTTGTTATATAATACTACACAGGAGAGCAGAGATTTGAATCCAGGCAGGTCTGACTCAAGAACCTGTGCCTTTAGCTACTCAAGCATACTTTAAAATTTTATTTTGGGGAGTTACATGTATTTTAAAGTACAATGATGAAAGAAAAGAAACACCAGATGGAACAAATAGAAACAAACAACAAGATGATAGATTTTAACCAAAACATATCAATAATCACATTAAATGTAAATGCTCTAAACACCCTAATTAAAATGTAGAAATTATCTATGTGGATAGACAAAAATACTAACCAAATTCTTGTATAATGGATTCTGCTCCATCATACTGTCTTTCCCCCAAATTCTCCTCTTCTTTTTACTACTCCTACTCCTACCTCATTGTGGCCTTATTCCTGAAAACTGTGTGGCTGAGAGGAAAATATTCCCTTTGACAGGTTAATTATTTACTGCATATACATTTAAAAGGTTCTGAAATCATGGACTCATCCTCTCTTGTCTCTCTCCAAGAATTTAAGTTTCATGTGAACTGAAGGTCATCACACATTTATTATGCATTTCCCACTTCATATTGTACTGCTTTGTCACTGAAAAATAGAGTAAAAGGAAATTTGGAGAGACCTGAGAAATTACTGAATATTTCAGAAAAACTGATGAAGATGTTAAGTGTAACATCAGTATCTTAAGTTGAAAAGGGCTCTTTACTTGGAATGGTCCACATTATTCTTAGTATCTTCTGATTTATAAATATTTTTTACAATCATATTTCTATTTTATCTTTCAGAAGTATTGCGTATAGACACACACAAGCCTGAAACTGACTTTTATCACATTCTGTAGCAAGGAATTTAGAAAAGGAACCAAAAATAGTCATTTCCCAAAGGCATGTGGCACAATGTCTGTCTCCTCACGGAAAAATGGTCATCTCGCCAGAAGGGCAGAACCACTCCCTAAGTCCATATTTTTTACCAAGCCCAAGATTTTGACTCTGAATCATCTGCTCCTTTAAAAGCAGGTTAGCCGTTTATCTTTCCTTTAAGAAAATGGCATTTTGGAACAGTTTCCTAATTTGAGGTTCTTACAAGTAAAGGGAAAAGCATGACCTTTGATATTTATTTTCTTCCCTCAGAAAAGTAAACCTATGTCGCATGAGTAGGCGGTAAACTGCTACCTTTAATACAACTTTTGCTTCTAGCCTTTAAGGCTTCCCAAGAGTAAGCTCTCTGCTAACCTCAGGTCATACGAGTATTACTAATTGAGTCCAGCTTTCTAGACAGTCCTGCCCAAACAACTCACTAAAATGTAAACAAACATGCAAATGGTAGAAACAGCATGCAATTCAAAATGTTCTTCTTACCAAGATTTTGAGGGGTTCTTGAGGGACTCAGTCCTTGGCAATCTGGAGCAGCATGGCATGTCCGAGAAGACAGCGAATCAGTCCCAGAAGCTGACTGCTTCAGAAAGATCCGGTAGGAGAAACATTATTTTATCCTCCAATGAAATAGTCTTAAATACATGGCTTCCATTTAACTAAGGGGCCCTTACCCCTGACCTTAAGGGGGAAAAGCTAAGTATATTGGAGTCCTTTGTAAGTTGCCCCCATCTTGCATAGAATTGAGCGCAGGTCCTCTCCTTGGGGCAATTAGAAGCACAATTTCAACACCTTTTGCTTCATTCATTTACTTCTTCCTTTGAACAAGTCAACTGAACCCCCTCTTAAATTAGTTGTAGTCCAGAATATAAAAACAGCTATGTGCTGATTTTCACCTATGCTTAATTTTTATCCTTAAGAAAGAAAAAAGAAAACCTATAGGAAGGTATTAATCTACTTAACATTTCTAAGTACATCATCCAAAGGATTTTGTTTTTTTAATCTTACATATGCTCAGCAGAGTTACTGGCAAAAACTGTACATTTTCTTCATTTCATCCTTTCAACATCAAATAGTAGGCAGCAAAAATTGGATCAGACTTCAAAGCCTGCTGTGGGCTCCAAGTCACAGAGAGACGCCTCCATTTCACATATTGAATTCGAGCAGGATATCAAAGTGCTACCAAAGAACCTCGGGTCCTTACTCAAAAAGAGGCTCTAACATCTGTAGAGAGTGGAGTGCACAGACAAATCACCTCAGGGAGCAGCTAGCATTTATTCTCAGCAGCAAATTTCCAGGCTTTTGATTCTCTCTTCACTGTACCTCCCTGTCTCTCTACTGAACCAAGGTTCTTTAGCAAGCTGGGCTTTTGTCTCAAAGACTTCAAAATATCACTGACAGTTTCATGTTTGGATGGCCTGACCAAGCAGCCACAGACAGGTTCACACCCATGGACTTGGATGAGTCTGAAGGAAGGATACATAGTTACTTCCAAATCAAGATATCCAGCTACCTTATTTGCATGTCCTGTGAAGACATCACTTGCTCTTGGAGAACTCTGAGCTCGTGAATGCCTAAAAAAAAATTAGAATAATAATAATAATTTTTAAAAGGCTTGAAATAATAATTTTTAAAAACCTCAAAAAGGATTATTTTCCTCCAAAGATGTATCAGAACATACAATTTAAGTTTCCATTGTTTCCCATTCCCATCTTTGGTTAAAAAGATATGGTCAATTTAAGGAAATACATCCTGCTAGGTGTTGGAAAAATCACATTCATGGTCAGCCTGAAATCCTAAGACCCACAGAACTGCCTTTTATAAAGTTGTGTGATCAAATTTGGTTTGGTGAGCACTATTTGACTTTCACAAACTTTATCAAGAAGGCAACCAAATTGGTGCTAAGGCTGTATTTGCCATACAGCCACACAGGCTGTATTTGCCACACAAGAAGGCAACCAAATTGGTGCTAAGGCTGTATTTGCCACTCACTGTTAAAGAATTTAAAATGAATTCTGTAGTCAAATAAGTTGGGGAAATGCTTGATTATATATAGTTTAAGAAGTTTCTTTACTGCAGGAATAATCTTTTACTCACAATATACATGTATGAATCTCTAAAGTAGAGGCAAAGGAGGATACAGGACGTCCTAAAGTAATTTGACCAAGAAGCTTAAAGTGATAATTTATTAACATCTAACAAAATATTAATATTTCATGGAACAAAGTTTGGAAAAATCAGTCTTCCTGGGTCCCCAATTTCTAGTAATTTGAACACATTCTGTGAAAGTATGATTCTATTTAATTTTAACTTTTTTTTTTTTTTTGTGACCGGTAAGGGGATCATAACCCTTGGCTTGGTGTTGCCCACACCGTGCCCAGCCAGCGAGCACACCGGCCATCCCTATATAGGATCCAAACCTGCGGCCTCGGAGATCCCAGCGCTGCTGCGCTCCCAGCGCTGCACTCTCCCGAGGGAGCCACAGGGTTGGCCCAAAAGTGTGATTCTAACACACAGTTAAAGTAGGAGCCTCTCTTACAATGCTTTTCACATGGAACCCAGCAGAGTGGAAAACACTGACTAGGGAAGGGAAATCTGCATTCTGATCCTTGCCTCAATATCCCAGACCACACACACACGCACATGCAGGCACATACACCATGCACACATAAAAAAACATGTGACTTTAGGTAAATTTCTATAGTATTCTGGTTTCTAGTTTTTCTCATCCATAAAATGAGGGGGGATTGAGATAAATTATTCCTAAGGTCTCTTCCAATTCTACATTAATAATCTTATTCTTTACTTAAAACGACAAATTCATTTCAATATATCTGTTCATATATATTATCTTCAAAATGCAAGTAGATTATTTATAGTAGATTATAAGCAATATGCCTATTTAAAAAAAATCAGAATAGTACATGGGAGGAGGTATTATAATTATATGTTTATTTGTGCATATATTTGTTTGTCATATGTCTCCCACAATGGAATGTAAGATCCATGCAGTCAGGAACTAGATCTTTATTCCATGCTCTATAGCAGCACCTAACTCAGTGCCTGGTACATAGTAAGTGCTCAATAAATATTAGACAAGTTAAATGAATAAAAGAATGACTAGTAGACGCCCAAAATATGGGGCCATATAGATCAGTAAGAATACACTTACTGTAAAAAATTAAATTAACTAGCATTTACACAGCATGTAACATTTTTAGAAATTTTAAAAAATGTCTAATGAGAGCTTCACAACCATTTGAGCTAAGCACTTTAATCACACCTATTATATAGATGAAGAAACTGAGGTTCAGAAAGTTTACTGGATTTTCTCAGGTATCATGGCACATATCCGCTAGAGCTAAGACACTGACCCATATTCATCTGACCCCAAGTCCTCTGTTCTTCCTCCGAATCATGATACACCCTATGCCCTTCAGTCTCTATGCATCAGCCCAAGGGACTCACTCCTGTCCAGCCTAGGCAAGTCCCAGTAGCAATGAGACAACTACTGGATAGGGGGATTCTGAAGTCCTAGAAGAGAAAACCTAGAGAAGAGCATTTAGCTTTGGAATTATTGCTGGGTCCCTAATTTCTGCTTTTCTTACCCAATGAAGAAGTGAACCTCTTGAGAACCCCTCTAGCTTGTGGCTTTTTAGGATCCAAAGGCTAGTAGCAGATACCTTCCAACTCTCCACAGGGGTCAGCTCATCAGTTTAATTCCCTCTTCATTCAAGCCTTTGGATGCGCAATGTAATGTTTATATGTGTTACTTGGTCTTAAAAAGGATTGGGGAGTGAGAGAGTAGTGTTCACAGGGAAAAAGATCAGAAAATAGTTGATTAAACAAAGTTAAGCAGGTTTCTTTCCTGAAAGGCTTTCCAGAACCTTTAACTTAATAATGAAACTCCAAGAGAAGGAAAGAATGGGAAATATTTTCTAGACATTATTGTAACAATGGACCCTTATTCCATTAAACATATTGAGGGACCATTAGTTCTTAGAGCACACCTTGGGAAAGACTGATTTGAGCAGCTTATTTGAAATAAATTCCAATTTACTTTTTAAAAACTGGTGTATGTCAATTTTCTTCAAAAGCCTCAACTCCTTTTCAGCTTCATTAGTTTTGTTTTGTTTTGCCTCAGGGACATGAGACTGACAGCGAGTGGCTGATCTGCATTCCACCTCCCCCAAATAAGGAGAAGCACAATAATAACAAAAAGCCAATGTTTATTGCATGCATACATGCCACCAGGCACCAGGCAAAACATGTGTACATAGTTATCTCATGGAGAACTGCCAATAGCCATGTGGATTAGTTCTATTTTTATACCCATTTTTACAGGTGAGGGAATTAAGGATCAAGACTTGCTTCATACCATAGCTAGTAAGTGGTAAGGCTTAAGACCAGCTGACTATGGAAAAGCGTAGGCCAGAAGGAAGTATTGACTCAGGCAAGGATTACCAACTGCTGAAAAAACCATTAGACAAATGCTTGATGGAGAACAGGACATTTATATGGTGTTAAAGTACCACCACACAGATTCCTTCTTTCAGGTCATGAGAGAAGCAATATACATGGGAAAAATCAGAAGGTCACCATTTTAATCCAGTGCTCGATCTTAGCACCACTAACGCTAGCAAACATTGTCTTGCAATGGGAGGCAACTTTAAGTATTCGAAGTCACCCAGGATGTATTTTTTTCTTTTTGGTCAAAAATATTTAACTTGAATTTAATCAAGGCTTTAGGTCTAACTGTATACACAAAACACAGGGCATAGAGGGACAAGCTGAATGAGACCACAAAGAAGCAAGCGGACAAATACAGAAGGTGAGATATTTTATGGGATAATTGGGTCAATTCCTCCAAAAAGTCAGAGACATGAAAGAAGGGACTATTCTATATTTAAAGAGATTTAAGGACATAACAATTCGATGCTATATAATGTCCTAGATTGGATCCTGGATCGTATAAACATGTGCAAAGAACATTCTTGGAATAATTGGGAAAATTTGACTATGGATTGATTTTAGGTGATATTAAGGAATTATTCATTTTTAAAGCATGATTTTGTTTTTTTAATCTGCAGGAAAAGTTTTAAAAAATAACACTGTCCTCCACCTCTGTTAGGAATTGCATGCTAAATGGCAGAAGCGGTGACGTTGCTTATCAAAGTGTGGTGGAGAGGAGGTAGTTGTATCTCTCACATATTCATCACATATTTCCAGAGCTCCACTGGCTTCTTGGAAACATAACAAAGTCTCAAGCAGATTGCCTCCAGGGCTCAGCTACCTCACTGAAGTCAGTTTATTGAACTGTGGGTTCTAGGGGAGACGGAAACTCTCAATCACCGTTGAGAACCCGTCTGCTGGGCATCTGCCCTGGAAAAGCCCCCAAATGAAACTCACGTCTAATTCCCTCTTCTTAAATCCTGATCCCAGTGTGACCGGATGATGGGCAGGGTGAAGACTGGCCCCCAAGTAGGTGGCTGCTGAGAATGTCCCAGCATCTCCTTATTCTCCAGCAAAGATCCACGAGGCCAGCTGGCTCTGTCATGCTGTGCTGGCAGCACTAGGTGAAGTCACCGTGGTCCAGGGACTGGGCCTCAGCTTCACAGGCTCCAAAATTAAATTTGTCAGTTCATTGAGGGATGATGATTTGGGGGGGCGGGGAGCTGAATTTCAGTAACCAAATTCAGAAGAGTCAGATTTGAAAAGCAGAATGCCAGTGTGTGATTTTACAATGAGTTTGTGTAGTCTGGACTATACTTTCCCCTGTCTAGTTGGTTGAAATATTCTGGAGACCAAATTACACATTAGAATTACAGCAAAGGAAGCAGGTGCTCTTTGAGGATGTATCTGGTCAATTAAGCTGTTGCAAAACTGGTCTTTTTCTACTTTATGGTTAGAAAAAGTAACTTTTTTCTTGGATGGGAGTGGAGACACACAGGCTACTGTCTGATTCCCCATTGTCTAAACTTCATTTAAATTTCTTTCTTCATGTACTTTTTATTAATTTTCATAAAGTTTTCAAGATTATGTCATATTTTATCAGTTATAATTTATAATGGCTTCTCAACAAACTGAGAAATCCATTAGTTGTTCACACTTGAAAGCATATTCTAATTCCAAAACAGGATAGGTGGCAGCTAATTCATTATGGGCTGTTTTTTGTTAGCTTCCTGCTGTCTCTAAGTTTGGGAGTAATTCTCGTCATAAACTTGTGTCTCACTTGGTAGCCCTAGAAGAAAGGCTAATCAACATAACCAAGTAAATCTGTTCCTGCTTCTTTGAAAACATTGAACAAAAATCCTTTATACATGGAGCTCTTAATAAGAAAAAGTCAATTTTCTGCTCTCAACGAGCAGCAGCTGAACTGCCCTGCAGAAGGTGTGCTTAGATTAGGTTATTTTAACATAGTAGGAGCCCCAGGAATCTCGAGGGAGGCAAGTTTCAGATAAACAAGTCATATAACTTTCATTTTGGAAGTTATTACTATGAGAGATAATAGGAAACATAAACATCTTCCAGAAAGTGTTGCAATAAATTCAAGTTATGAAGGACAATTAAGACA